AATCGGAGCACTAAAGACGAAAAGATAGTGATCAGAATTGATAAAATACGAGTTTTTGATACAAGACTATCTGGACATACTAAATAATGTTTTAAAATAGTATAAACAGATCTTTTAACATCCCTATATGTCCGAGGCAGGCCCTCGCCATAAAACGTCTAAACAAGATGTTTTGTCGACCTATTTTGGCTTTGGACCTTCGGAAATCCAGACAGAATCAGAACTCGTCGTTTGTGAACATGATCCGAAATTTCCTATCACCAATTACACATCCAGATTTACCAGCCGAAGTCTAACTTGTGTCAGTCGACCCTTAGAAAACAAACCCACGACCCCGTTACTTACATCAGAACAAAATAACAAATTTTGATTTTTTCAATGTATATAAATACCGAACTCTTCTTTGTCTTTTTGTGTTTATAACTTTGAGGATATCATTACATTTGCATTCAAGTTTTTTTTTTAATATATAGTATGACCTTAATGCAAACACGATTTTAAAGGTCAAATACATTTTAAATTCTCTCACGTGATATCTTATCATTTTTTTTATGTTTACAACTGTTTCCTAAACAATCTGTGTCTATAATCTTAGTTAATGGTATTTTATTATCTAATCACAGTATAATGGGGTAACTAATTTAAATTAATATGTTGATACGATAAAATTCGGTGTTGTTGTTGCTGCTGCCGCTTAGCTTTCCTGAATAAATGCTCTAACCAATAAAAAAATCGAACTAGTAGTTCCTGAGATTAGCGCGTCCAAACAAACAAATCTACTCTTCAGATTTATATATTAATAGAGATGTAGTATTTCGACTAAATTTCATTAACATAAGAACGGGTTTTGAGAGTTAACCTTAAAAGAAAAGACATAATATTGGACAGATTTTTTAGATAATTTAAAGAGTAATCATTGTTCTATACGTACTTCTGTTTCATTCGCTGCGTTCGCTGCGAAAACTCTCAAAGACGTATAATTTTCCCAATTTTTCTTTGTTCCTATCTGTCGTAGCATAAAGCATGCCTCGATAAATGCGTTAAGTATATAATATATGTAAGTTATAGTATAGATGACGTCATTCAATAATTGCTTCAATTTAATATAATAGTATTAATTTCTTGACTGTAAATGTGTATACCAATTTATTAACAACCCTTTACAAGAATAAGGCTATTGCACTGAAGCCTTAGAAAAATTATCTACTTATGCGGTCGACGGTGGCTATGTAGGTAGGACTCAGGCTCAATTAAAATGGAGCTACGTACCTTTATATAGTTGTGTATGTATCCGTTTAAAAGTATGTACATTACCTATTATATCTTATCTGTGTTTAACTGTTTGGTGCTAGTAAGGCGATAAGAAACGCAAAACTTGGTTAAAAACATTAATAGTTCGATAGTGTCGACAAAAGATAACTCCAATTTCAGAATAAGTATTGATAGTATTTAAATAAAACACTTTAACGGTTTAAAACGCGATATATTATTAACTTATTTGAAAATCATTTTCAAAAGTAACTAGTATATCGCGTTTTAAACCCTTAAAAAGTTTTATTTAAAAGTGTACTACTCGCGTAAACTATAGACAGTATTTAGTACACGTTTAATTAAAACCGTATTAACAGTTTAAACGAAAAATGTATTAGCTAAGTCATTTCTAATTTATTTTAACTACGGCCCGATGTCTAGCGTGCTTTGGAGCAGCCGTGCCCCCCCTTATGACCACGTTAAGTGTTTTATTTTATTAATTTCTAAACAATCGACTCTCTAACCACGAAGAAAAAATAAGATGTGATTTAGTGATTTTTAGTAATTTAGTTGTTTTTGTTGCGTATTTCTTATAATACTTTTAAAAACTCAGATATTATTTATTTGTTCGCCATAATTTCATGTACATACATTATTATTTTACCAAGTAATTTAGTACCGGCTTTTTTAGTTCATTTTTAACAAGACTTGGATTAGATCCAGGGTGTTACCTGATAAAATGTTTGGGTCGGACAGAGGTATTTCGTCAAGTAAATATAATCGATGAGAGAAACGGACATTAAATTGTGTCTACTAATGGCCTACGATTTTGTTTGTAGTAGCATTGAGAATCGAAGCAGACATGTGCTATTTTAAACCTATCCAGTGTTGTTGTAGTTTTTTATATCATTGCATATCAAACTATTTTATTTAGTACTGGCAATCTTGATTAACGAATAGCTACACGTTTTTAATTTCCGCGTTATTACGTTTACGCAATCTTTATTATTGTTTGTAGGTACCTGATAACTGAACTAGAATGTTTAGAGAAGGGCCTGGGTAGATTGCTGCCTTAGTGGCTCAATGTTCAAGCATTGTCTAACGAAGCCCTCAGTGAAAAAGGTCCTAGGAACGAATCCCGATTAAACACAGTTTCGGTCGGACAAGATAATTTAGTCTTGTAGTTTATACAAGTAGTACAAATAAATAAAAATCAACGAATTAAAACGAAATATATTAATTATCAAATTTTTTATTTAACTTAAGTACGGCCTGTCTTTTTGAATGACTGAAGATAGTCGATTCGACGGAGGGTGTCCCTATTTTCAAAGTCGAAGCTGCTACTCTAGCGCCATATGTGTCACTGTAGTTGATCACTATTTACTAGTCAGTCCTGTAAGGGCTCATCTAGCTTCACCAAATACTAACTTTTAAACCGTTAAAAGTGTTTTATTTAAAAAAAATCTTGACACAGACAAACAATGTGTATAATGTCTATTTATTTCCTATGATATTCAATTTTATTAAATCTCAATAGGTTGTGTGAATAATAATTACTTAGACATACGTATATACGGCCTGAAGGTCGAAGTTAAGGTACAAAAATTAACAAAGAACGAAGTTTAATACGGATATGCGAAACGCAACACAAAACGAATGTTACATGTGTACATACGTACTAGTCTTATAATGAATGTTTTTATCAAAACCTTAAATTATAGAACGGCAACTAATATTCTGTCATATTTAACAAATTAAATTTAAAATACCCCCAAAACATAGAAATTCTGTCTTTAGTTACGATTAAAGAGATTAAATCAGTATTCTACTGAATATAATTTGTCTAGTTCCATTCAGTTAATAAAAGTAGATTTAATAATAATAATAATAATTTTATAGACCCAGTTAATACTGGGTCTATAAAAGGGTATATATAAGATTATAACTTATCCTAAAAAACTACTCGATAGACTTATGTAGTAGACTTTTACAGTTAAACTAGTATTTGATCGTTAGTTCAGAAAATCAGTTAAATGTCAAGAAACCTGATGTACTTATCGGAATGAGGTGTGGAATTCTTGTACGATTACACAAATTGTATGACGACGTGGGGGACGAAACAGTAGCCTTGTTAGTAGAGCTGTCGTGGGTTCGAATCCGTTTTCATCGACAATGGATTTAAATGAAACACTTTAACGGTTTAAAACGCGATATATTAGTTAAACTTATTTGAAAACGTTTCGGATGCTTTGCAGCAGCCGTGGTCACGGGGAGTGACCACGGCTGCTGGAAAGCATCCAAAACGTCGGGCCGAAGTTAAAAATCATTTTCAAATAAGTTTAACTAATATATCGCGTTTTAAACCGTTAAAGTGTTTCATTTAAATGTGTACTACTCGCGTAAACTATAGACAATGGATTTCTTAAAAAAAAAACGTATATTTAGATTTTAGAGCAATACGAAATAGATGCGTATATTCTACTCTCTCTCTCTTCTCTATTATAGCTTCCTTTTTCCAAACTTACCTAATAAACCGACTTACACCGAATAATTCGCTAATGAGTGTTACTAGGCCGCGTTGTTGGCCGCAATAACAGCCTATCAAGTTGTTACGTTCACTATTCGAAAAACGTTTGGATACTTCCGATTATTATGACCATTCGTGACTTCGCGCTCTGATATTTATCTCTGACATTAATGTAGAACTTGGAGTTTCTTTTTCGTGGAATACAATATAATTGCCTATTCTTTAACAGTCATAATTCGATATAAAAATGCTCAGTTAATTAATCCACCAAGATTAAAGTAGCGTGTACTACATATTATATGCATGATTATCCCCCCACCTTTTTAAATAAAAGAGTCACCCTGCGTGACGTCGCTTGTTGAACCGAAACAAGTTAGCATCACGTCACCCATAGGATCCCATAGGGAACGTTTTATTTGGATTCATGTTGCGTCTTTTAAAGAAGACGCGCTCTGTAAAGGATTTATATTAAAATCCAGTCCTGGATACGTATTCTCCACTTCACTTAAGTACATATTAAGTAAACACAAGTCATTCCATGACCATTCTTGTAATATTCATGAGCTCAAAGGCTAGGTACGTTCGCACGATCAAAGAATACTTATTTACAATTGTCAATATGTACCTACTACAAATGACGATTATATGTAACTAGCTGTGCCAGCGACTTCGTCCACATATTTTAGGCGTCAAAATTTGTTTTTCCGAACTTCCTCCTCATTACAGCTGTTACCCACGACATTCGTATTCCGTCTTACGCGTCCCGTCGTTCGGGTCGTTCTTGCAAGTTTATCTTAAAAGAAAGACATAGAGTGTCGCGGACTTTTTTTTAGATAATTTAAAGAGAAATGATCCTTCTATACATATTGTTTTGATTTGATCACATCGGGAACCCACAGAGATGAAAAATTTCCCCCGTTTTGTTCACATTTCCCGCTGTACCTTTGTTTCTATTAGTCACAGCGCGATGTTTTAGCCTATAGCCTTTCCCAATAAATACTCTAACTAACAAAAAGAATTATTCAATTTGAACCAGTAATTCCTGAGATTAGCGCGTTGAAACAAACTCTTCAGCTTTATATTTATTAATATATACAGTATAGATTTAGAATGGCCTTATTGGTGTGTACAATGTTATATAACTCTATAGGTGGATATAACTGGTGTTATAAAACATAATTTGTCAAAGGCATATACTTACTTGTGTGCTTTCTTTTTTCAGATACCTGTCGACAGAGACGGCAAATCAAGAGCTTTAGATATCCGAAACACATATCCCAGTGAACATAAAATAAGAAGCCTACAAACAGATATCCAAACTTCTTACGATAAAAATAATGCAAGAAAGTGCGATGAAAGACACAAAAACGATATTAAAGATAAGTTATACTACAGACCTTACAACACTCTGATACCGAAAATTAACTTTAAAATGGAAAAAGTAACTGAAAGGAATCCAAGAATATTAGATTTACGCGAGAAGTTAAATGAGATTTCAAAAAAGCAAGACTTAAATGTCGATAAGAGAACAAAAAGCCTTATAAACGACATAACGCAACAGCTGGTTGAAGACAAAGAAGGGGATGAATCAGGACCATATAGCTTGTTATTTGATCTACATAATCCCTCCACATCCAGTAGGGTGAAAAATGATATAAATAATAGTGGCTCCATAGAATTTGATGAAGGAATCGAGCTAGCATCGCGTTATGCCAATAAAATCTGCAATCCAAAAATTCCTACAGAGAGGCTTCCCAACGTCCTCAATTTTGACAACAAACCTTTAAAGGAGTTTGAATACTCATGTGAAAAAGAATTTAATTGTTTGCCTAAGACAACTTTTAGTACACATTCGCGGTCTGATCTTTGCCTGCAATTAAAGTCACACGTATATCCCCGAAATTTTGAAACGAACTCAAGTCCGAACGAAATCTCGATGTCTAGAAACAACGAAGAAAACTCTTTAGATGACAGTCTAGGAATTTTGACTCCCGACCAAATGGATGATATTTGTTATTTAGAAAACGCGTTCTCACCAACCGTTGAAGGATTGCCAATTTTTTGTGATAATAATGAGGATAAACGGTCTCCTGATAATGGAGACTCTCCTTCAACTGATAAAACTGAAAGCAATTCTGCTGCTTCAACAATACAAAATGAAGGTTTTGATAATGCTGTTAATGAAATACAATGTACCGTGCGAAATGAAGCTTTGCCTTCGATTATTACTATAGTTGCTACGGAAAAAAAATGTTGCGATGATAAAGAATTATTTTTCCTCACTAATGATAATGTTAAGTCTGAATCATTGCTGGAACAAGACAAAATTGATACACAAGAAGGAGACATATGTCAGGAGGGTTCCATTTCTGATGTTATAGAAGAAGAATTTTTACCTTCTATCCATGGTAGCATTTTAGAACCAGCTAGTTCAATGGCGGATACAACAGTGAATATCGAAATTCCTTTAGATACTAAACACACGAATAGAATTGAACAAACCCCGTCTCCTGAAGACCTACCGTTAGATAATTCAGATATAAACGGAGAAATTAGTACTTACTCCCAATTTTCTGTATCAACTGTCCATGACTCCCAAACATATTCAGATAGCAAGAGTAACGATTATACTAAATCAATGGAAACTTCAAAGGTATCGAATAGTTTTATTACAAGTATAACAAGCATTACAAGTCTCGACGGCTACCAAGGTGATGGTGAAATGTCGAGACCTGTGAGCAGAAGCGCTGAACATAATGTAGGACCTCGTGAAGATGTGATTGATATGGATTGGCAAAATGTGGCGGTGCCTAGAAGACCTGATCCTATGACGGATTCAGACTTTTTCACGGAAAGTGATGCTGATGGATTCGATGAGCATATGCAACGTGGTGATCGGCGAGCACAAGTCATAGATGGTGCATTGTATGGTGGTAAAAATAAAAAGAATAATCCACCGTTAATTGTCAATAGAAGTGAGGATTCTTGCATGGAATCCAGTGGAGTATATACTGATTTTGAAAATCATCGTGCATCGCCGGTGTTTTTGAATGCTATTAACGACATGTCACCAGCTTCTACAATATCATCACGATCTGATTGTAGTCAGAAAAATATAGAGCATATGTATTTCACGCCGCTCGATAACACTTTGGAGGAAAAGGATTCCAATATTATATCTACGGTCGACGATGAAAATATAACTCCTAAAAATACGAGTAAAAGGAATTCAATTAAAAGCGATAAAGAGCTCAATAGTAACGAAAAAAACAAAGAGGAAAAGAGAAGTTTTACTTTAAAGAAATACAAGATGCCAAAACGTGATGTTCCAAGTAAGCTTAAAACAATGCTACAAAGTAGGAAAACTGATATAGATAATAGCGTTCAGAGTAGTCCAAAAGCGGTGAAGAAAACAGAAAGGCGAGAAAACTTTATGAAAAAGAACATAATTGATATTAAAAGTGACTACAGAGTAAAATCCTACAAGGATGTCAAATCAAAAGTTGATTGTTCGTTCTCATTGCAACGCTCTCAAACTTCATGTAGTGTGACCAGAATTCTTAGTTCCAAATCACCGAATTCGAACTCCAAGCCGAAAAGGTACATTATTTTCTTTACTGTTTTAATTATTCATCTGTGACCGCGGTTTTTATGTCGCTTCTGTTTTTATTAGCGTATTCTCTACTATTTCCTGAACTGATTTTCAAACAAGCCTAATAATTTAATGTATGACTTATATGTGACATAAATATAAGAAAACCTATTTAGATATAAAAAATGTAGCACACGGGCGGGACTTGAACCGGCATCCAAGGCGTTCTGTCTGTTGTTCTAACCTATTAAGCTAACACGTCTTAATATCATCGTGTGAAAATATTAAAGTTTTCTCATATATGTGACATTTTCAACTGTTTTTTTTTAAAGAAACAGTAGTATTTTTAATGAAGTACATTGAGAAACGTAAACGTACACAATAAAAAAGACTTTATGGCATAAAAAGACAAACAAGCGTGTGGTCTTGATGGAAAGTGAAATATCCCAGCAGTATAGCAATATAGAAAAGCAGATGTCACGTTTTTTCTATCTGTGGACTGAGGTTCGACATTCCTACCACCATTTAACATATACATTACAGTCAGTCGTGGTTTAGAAAAATTGTAAAGTTAAATTGAAAATCATGTTGGAGCTAACTGAATGTTGCTATTTCTTTTTTACAGTCGCCATATGCGCATGCGCATGGATCTTGGGTCAGCAAATGCTAGCGGCAAGAGCAGTCTTCACAGCTCACAGAGTGACATAAGTGCAACTAGCACTCCGGTGGTCAAACATTCGTCAAGTCGCTTCCCCTTACTAAGTAAGTTTTATTCTTTAATATAAACATATTCAGAGAAATTATTCCTTTAAACTTCGGAATGGATAAACGTTGAGGTTTTGTTAAGTTTCAGAAATGTTTTCTTAAGAAAAAGCAATACTTAATTACTTGAAAGTCTTGTGTTGTGCATATAACTATACTGTCATTAATATCGTTTATTTCAATAGATGGTAAAAAATATACACAAATAGCCGTAAAACATTTAGCGACGCAAAATTTTAGCTCCTGTGAGTGTTGCTTAGCAAATATATTGAACGTAAACATTTCTCAAAACTTTCAAACGGCGATTGAAAGCATTAAATTAAATTTACTATAAGAGCTACAATACTAACATAATCTTGCATAGAAATATATACATATTTTTGACAACATAATAATTACTGCGTAGGAGTAGCTTCAGAGTTGATGAACGTGATGTAAAAACAAAATTATTTTTGCTTACTTGTTATAGTCTAAATACAAATGTATATGTAATAAAAATAAAATGTATCATGACCCCAGACTTTATATTGACACTCGTGGTTCCTTGTTAAAACATATCAGCTGTGGTGGCAGTGGAACGTGAATGCATAAATCGATGCAAAGGTCATGAAGAGCAATACAAGATATAGGGCTGCCAAAAGCCATTTTCAATTAATAAGTAATGATTGTAGTTGCGAGAGGTTAAAAACACACTTTCTAATAGTTTAAAACGCATTTAAAAAAAAAAAAAATTAATTAATTTCGTGTTTTAAAAATTATCAGGCTTATGTAGACAAGACACACAATTCCTAAAATATATATACAGAGAATAGTATATATATATTTGTTATTGTTAGTATAATTACAGACAGTAATTTACTTTCGTTGGATAAACAAAAGGTATACTTACATAGATATATCATTTAATAGGAACTAACTAACCTACTAAGTCCTACAGAAAACGTAAAACTCAAACAAGGTTCACGTATACGGCCACTAGTTTAACAATAAATAGGATTTTAGTAGATTCTTAAAAGTAATCCAATATTATCAATATTAAATAAAATGAAAAATACATCCCTATCTACTAAACTATATTTCAATTTGGACCACACCAAACAGTCTTCTAATTGTGAGCTAAGTCTTATAGCTAGGTTTTGTCCCATATTCCCAACACGATTTCCTCTGACAACCCTAGACCGACCGCGTGGCAACTGACATTTCCTTTTCCTCTCACAACTCGCTAAGTTGCCAGACAAGAGTTCGAGTTGGGGAACCGTTCGGCGTTCGCCAGTCGCCGACGAGACGCGACCGGCGCGCGCCGTCTGCGCCACTTTGTCGCGTGACGTCATATGCTTCGCGAAAAATCAATGGTTAACTTCGTCACTAAGGTTAACCGCATACCGCATTTTAAGGAAAATGTGATCTATGCCAGTGCAGTGCCGAACGATAACGATTTTTTTGATAAGCAGCTCCAGCGTGAACGGTTTAGTTTCATGTACCGTACCTGTTTTTGAGTGGTGTCATAATTCAATTTCCTAGAAATTTTCTTTTGATAATTTCTTCTCGTTATAGCTCACAGCAGTGGTTTCCGTCTTACGGTTATTTAACTTACGCGGCATTGCTTATTTATTCCATTTTTTTATTAATTCTATAGTAGTTTATATTTTATATTTATATGTAGTATTCCAACCTAAATCTACGATATACGGGACAATAGTAGTTTTTAAACAGTCAATCAAAAAGTTGTTAACTAATACATAACTAAATAATTAAGTTTGTAATTAGGTATTAGTACCATAAATTTGTCATGAATTTGCTCAAGTGATGTCCTAATTGTAATGATAGCATAATGACATGTTATAATAATATTAAATTATTAATAATTCAAAAATATACACTTACCATAGAATTATGTTACATTTAAAAACTAGAGTCATTGTCTATGATTATTAAAATAATTCATATAAAAAATAACTTAATAAAATCCCGTCTCTTATCGCATTAAAAAACGCTTACTATTGTCTATGGATTATTCTAAGATCTTATGAAAACAATAGTATAATCAATAATACAAGAGACGTAGGTACGGATGTCATTAACGAAATTACACGTTCCACGTATTTCACAACACAGGTTAAAAATATGTATTGCTATATACGTTCTTACTTAACCTGTTTGGTTTTTTTTTTTAAATTACTTAATACTGAGGTTTTTGCAAAAAAATAAATTGCTCTGAGTTAAAACACAGAAAAGTTATAATCCATATTATAGAAAGTCCAATGTAATTGAAGAAAAACTGTCTTGAAACATGTGACAACATTTCTCAACACAATGTGTGTGAATTCCGTTTATAGCGGTATTGTAGACATAGTTGTGTTGTTGCTTGTGTAATTTTTTATCTCGTTAGGTATTTATAAATAGCGACATAAGTTTGCTGGCTTAGTTTAACTCAATTATGATTCCTACGTCCTCATTATGAATCGCATTAGTTTTGATTGTGAAAACTATCGGCGACAACTTTCTAATATTTTAAATACTAAATATTGGATATCGACAAAAATCGTGTAAAAACTATCTACCTTTCACTGTATTATCTAGCAATGATGATCAGCACGCAATTAGTAGCCGTACGTAGATATGTTTTTAATTAATTTTATTGTTGATTTTTAATTTTGCCTGCTGTTCTTAATTCTATTTATTTATTGAGCTTGAGAATGCAGGTAAATTTTATAGTTTATATCATAGATAACATTCTATCCCAGTGATTTCAGCGTATCCATCACTGATAACAAAATCTCTTACGTCGATATTTAGATGTCAATACGGTTACTATGTCATTACAAATAGTTCACAAAATACTTTTAACGGTTTTAAACGTGAACTATAAAAGTTTTCTAACTGCTTAACCCAGTAAAGCATCAAAAACATCGCAGTTATGAGTAAATTATCTAACACTTGTCTTGTATAAAAAAAAAAAAAAAAAAAAAAAACCCCCCCGCCCCCCCCCCCCCCCCCCCCCCCGCCCCCCCCCCCCCCCCGCCCCCCCCCCCCCCCCCCCCCCCCCCCCTCCCCCCCCTTTTCCCCCCCCCCCCCCCCCCCCCCCCCCCCCCCCCCCCCCCCCCCCCCCGGAAAAGGGGGAAAAAAACCGGGCCTTTTTTTTTTTAAATTTATTTTCGTTTTTTAAATTAAAGGGGCCCCCCAGGGCCAAAAACAGGGGAAAAATAAAGGTTTCAGTCAATAGTTAAATGATTTTATTCGTTAATAATGTATTCATTTAAAATGCCCTTTAAATAATATGTTCAAAGCTTAACCCTTATATTGTGCGACGAGTCCTATATGAGTCATGTGTTGCGGTCGTTATATAATTGCTAAATTGTAGAACACCCCTAAGTTATGTTAAAAATGATATACGTTCCGTAGTTCAAGAATAACAATTACAGCAACGAGTTTTCAATACAATAATGTATAAACAGTGCATACTGCATGGCGGCAACTAGTAGTTATACGCGGAAGGTATTAAATGGTCTAGCAGGCGTCACTTGTGAGTGAAATCCACTGGAAACCGATGCAGTGTAACGGGTTATTCTCGTCGATGGATTTTGTTGACGAGCGGAGAAACGTTGACCCCGTAATGGAAGGCGAAACTGATGTGCAAACTAGCAATTTCGTTGACAAATAAATACCTAGGTTATACAGAACCGTGTAAAATAACCGTGAATTGCGGTAAAGCAATGATTTAGGGTGGCTTTCAACATGTCGGCTAGAGCCCCCGGCACGCGTCACAGTCCAATTTTAAGTGTCAAGTAAATGGCGGTCGGTTAAGGTTTTGGGTGGTATTACCACCTCTCTCGTAATGCGTAGCTTACCACCCAGAGGTCAAACTCGAGTCCTTCACTCCATGCGCAAAAGCAATTTTGACCTCTGAATAAAAAACCTGTCTATATATGTTACTTATGTTTAATTATGACGTAGGTAAACATACAAATCGTGTTTAAATGTTAAAATATAGATTAATGATCTAGGAAAGTCAATATCATGTGTTCTTTATTTACAAGTGTAAACAATAACCAATTACATAGATCTTGAAAATAAACAGGTTTTATTTAATTATAATTTTATTTAATTAATTTTAGAGACTATAGTAGCACATTTTTCACCTCAGCGGAAAAATGTATATACACGCTGTACGAGAGCCGTTTTCAGTTCCGGGACACTAACTAGTTTCGCTTTGACAGGACGCAGTCTTATCAACTACTACTTAATTAAACGTATAATTTTAAATGTCATAATTGTTAGGGCAATATTCACAGTAAATAATCTATTCGTCGCGATAACAAAAACGTTTTATTGCGAGTGAAAGCAAACGAGATTCAATTACTTTACAATGTTGGTTACAGACACCGATTCTGCATGACTTTGGTTGGTTGTAAGTTCGTAAGCTTTAGATGGAGGGGCCAATTCTGCTTAAAAAAAATAATGTTGTTATGGCAACCGATTTGTATTAAACTAGTGCAAAAGCCTAAATGAGCAATTTCAAATAGTTAAAAACATGGCTGCGGGTAAAGTTGATTTTCACATGTTTGAGACTCGCCGCCAAATTATCATTCGATAATGTAATAGTCAATTGCCCTAAATAAAATAATGACACAGACATGGATAATTCGTGGCCTAAAAGCCTACAATCGGCATGACATGACATTCTATCATTACATAAAAGGTTTGGCCATAAGAATACAATATAAATTGTTAAGCGGTGTAGGTCTGACGAATATCCTTTCAGCTTATTAGCAGCACTACGATATTTCTTAGTTGGTCTCTTGTTTATTTACCAGTGCTAATGATATCGTAAAGTCTTATGATAAATCCAATGTGACCTTAAACAGATCTAAGAGGAGGTCTTCGTTTTGTAACCGATCAAATATTGTTAACAGCATGAGTTCGTAAATTATACGAAAGATCAAATAACTAAGAAGAGAAAAGGAATGCGGCTTCCAGACAAGCAGACAAAAGTAAAACAT